GTCCAAAGGAATTCAGGTTCCATCTGTGTTGAAATGGTGTTGAACTTTGTGTGGCCCTAAGTCACACGCAGGACAGAGATCTTGAATGGTGTCGTTTATTATAGAACAGTACGAGTTTAAACGGGTACACAATCCCTTTCTTAGATGCGCCAATACCACTCTAGTGCGACGTTGTAGATTTCGTTCCTCGCTTGCAATGGGTGGGGTTGACCTACCAGTATAATTGGGTGAGAATTGATAGAGTCTTCCACCAATTTTAGACAAGAAAGAAAGCCATAAAGACTTTTCTTCTTGTCGAAAGTATCGGTTCGAAAGAATGACAGTACTGTCTAGGTAACGAGAAAAAAAAAGAAAACTGCAAATGGGACTTGACAAATGTATTGTATTTTTATACACCAGCTGTCAGTAACAAATAAGCTCTGACTCTGATTGATTTTGTTTGTGGTTTACATGTACATACGTGGGAAAGGTTTATCTGTGTAACATTTTTTGTATGTATTGGGGTTTTTTAATTTAAATGTTATTTATTGGAAGATTCTAATGAATCTTTAGAAAATCTTTGAACTAAAATAGACAAATAATAGAGAAATTTTTAAAATATTTGTTTAACAATGATTATTTTTGCAAAATAACTTTGGAAATAGTGTAAATCATAAGATTTTTTTTCTATTTTATTTGGCTCGTGCTGCACTCAGGGTGTTTTCAGTTTCTATTCCTGTGTTTTTTTTCTCTATTTAGTGATTTTTTTTACAATTTTCCTTTATCTAGATTTTCCAGCTGTAGTACGTGTGTCGATAGATGGATGAAGGTCTGTGTTTGAGGTTGGGGTGTTGTTTAGCGCAAACGTATAGATACACAAAATTTTCATTATATCAGAACAAGTAGAACAACTTTTAACGAGGCGTAAGTGAATATAACATGTCACGAAAAAAAGCATACAATAGAAGGACAGACAGACAGACGGACGGAGGGATAGGCAAACTGGCTTATGGAATGACAGACAGGCAAGACAGCTTAAGGGTGCAGTGCATGCGTTTACTGAATAAAATTATTAACAAGAATAATAGAATGACTAGCAAGTGTTAAGTCAACGAAGAACAACAAAACAAACAAATACATTAAAAACCACCCTCCCTGGCGCTTTACTGCACTGCTTGTTTGGCCTTTTTTCTATTTTAAGGGTGGTATTTACACACACAAACTCTAGGCATTAAAGCCCCTTTATGTTGTAAGGTGGTGATAGTCAGCGGTGGGGTTGTTTCGTTAAAGCTCTTCTAAGTTAAACTTGGTGGTAGTTTATTTTCGTATTATGAACGAAGTGTTTTCACTAAATACATGTAAACATTATTGATTTTTTTTCTCATTTACTTTTTGTTTTATTCTATTCTGTTCTGTTCTGTTTTTTTATTCTATCTTTGCTGTTTTCTTTTATTCTTTTATTCTCTGTGCACACACGTACTAATGAAACAACTCAATGCTCCTGCTCAGTCGGTGGGGTGGTTCGTTAAAGTGTAGAAGTGATTTTTATGTTTAACGCATGACCGTTAAACGCTGCGTTGAAGTATTAAATTTAAACAAATTACAACAATAATAAAAAAAATATATAAAAATACATTTATTGTAAAATTATGAAATAATTAATATATTCAAAATACACAAAAATATTTTTGTAAGTTAAAAAAATATGTTTAAAATTTAGCAAAAGAAAAGTGTTAAAAAATTTTCATAAAAATTTTTGGAAAAAATCGAAAAAAATATTGTATATATAAAAAAAATAATTTTTAAAAAGTACGCAAGCGCACTTGTAGTTTTAGAAAAAGTTTTTTTTTATAAAATTTATAGTGGTTTTTGAGTGTTTCCAAAGTATCTTTAATTAAGTGCACCGACATAGATGACCTCATTTGTGTTATCACTAGTTGTATACTATACATGTACTAAATGTATTATTGTACTACAACAATTACAATAATATAACAAACAAATAAAATATTTAATTTTTTTAAGAATATTTTTTTTTGTTTTCTTTTTTCTACATGATGTCTTGTTTTTAAACATTTGCACACATACATTTTTACATAAAATATTGTGAACTATAGAGACATTGTTGTAATACGTTTAATGTTAATTATAGTTTTAAAATAATTTTAGAAAAAATATACAAAAGAAAAACAAACCCACAAACAGACTTGTTTGTGTTTTACTCTCTCTCATTAAATTAGAATTTTTATTTTACAAAGAGTGTGGAACATTGTGAGCTTTTTTGCTTAAATTTAAATTAAGCGTTTTTTTTAAGCTTATTAACGGTAATAAAGCTTATAATAAAAACATATTTCAAGATTCTGAATTAATTTAAAATATTATTTAAATATTGAATTCGAAGTTATGTTTGAAAAGTGCTCAACGAGGAATCTTAAAAATTAAAAAAAAAACATTTTGAATTCGATTTTTTCCGCTAGATTTTTATTTACAATTGGAGCAAAGCATTCATTTAATATAAATCTTATTAAGGCCTTTTTACTTGTAAATTGTAATTGTAATTTCTCTAGTAAAAATTTTCAGTTTCATTGTATTTAACTAAAAAAAACGTGCCTTTATTTCAGTTTAAATACAATATTTTATAGTAATAATTTTATAATAAATTTTATTGCACGTAATACTATTTAAATCTAATGGGTATTCATTCATTCATACTAAATTAAAATCGTGCATACTAGATACTCGTGTTACTTTGACCTTTTTTATACTAAGATTTTATACTAAATAGAAATTTTTTCAAAAAGTACATAAAATATGCATATTAGCCAGGGGAATAATTAATTATTTCTAAAATCAAAAGGGAGTTTTATGTATAAAATTAAAAAATTTCCCAATTTACTCTCCACGAAATTGTTATTTTAACATAATGATAAATGGATGGTGGGAATAACATTTTTCATAGAGTTTTGAAAGAAATATTGAAACTGTATTATATGGAATACTGTTCTATAATCTATAAAAACTGTTATGAAAATATATTTTACATAGAAAACTGTTATACGAAGAAGTTATGTATTGTAAATAGTTCTACAAGAAAGTTTTTTTTATAAAACAGTTCCATTAAACAGTTTTGTATATAAAACTTTTCTACTAAGAAGTTTTATATAGAAAACTATTATACTTAAGAATTATCTGTAGAAAATTGTTGTAAAAAGAAGATATTTTATAGAAAACTGTTATACGAAAAAGTTTTTTAAGGAAAACTGTTCTACAAAGAAGTTTTCTATAGAAAAACAGTTCTTCAAAGATATTTTGTATAGACAACTGTTCTACTAAGGAGTTTTCCTTAGAAAACTATTCTACTACGATGTTTTTTATTATAAAACTATTCTACTAAGAAAATATCTAAAAACTGTTTCTCTAGAGAGCTGTCATACGAAGAAATTTGTTATTGAAAGCTTTTCTACAAAGTTTTCTATAGAGAACAGCTATTCGAACAAGTTTTGTATATAAAACTTTCTACTAAGATGCTTTCTATAGAAAACTATTCTACTATCGTATTATTTGTAAAAATTTGTAGTAGAAATAAGTTTTGTATGGGCATCTGTTCTACTAGGAAACTGTACTACAAAGAAGATTTCAATAGTAAAAAGTTCTTTAAACTGTTCCACTAAACAGTTTTGTATATAAAACTATTCTACTAAGAAGTTTTTTTATAGAAAACTTTTATACTGAGGAATTATCTGTAGAAAATTGTTGTACACAGATGATATTTTATAGAAAACTGTCATACGAAAATGTTTTATGGAAAACTGTTCTACAAAGAAGTTTTCTATAGAAAAACAGTTCTTCAAAGATGTTTGTATAAACAACTGTTTTACTAAGGAGTTTTCTTTAGAAAACTGTTCTACTACGATGTTTTCTATTATAAAACTATTCTACTACGAAATTATCAATAAAAACCGTTATAAAATTATGCTTTTTCTAGAGAGCTGTCATACGAAGAAAAGTTTGATATTGAAAGCTGTTCTACAATTCTTTCTATAGAGAAAGTATTGTATAGACAACTTTTTATTTTCTATAGAAAACTATTTTACTATCGAATTATCTGTAGAAATATGTTGTACAAAGAAGTTTTGCATGGGCATCTGTTCTATTAGGAAACTGTCCTACAAAGAAGATTTCTATAGAAAAAAAGTTCTTTAAAGAAGTTTTTCTTGCAGAAAACTGTCATACAAAGAAGTTTTCTATTAAAAACTCCTACAAAAAAGCTTTCTACAGAAAACAATTCATCAAGATGTTTTGTATAAAAAAAGTTCTACTGAGAAGTTTTCTGTAAAAACTGTTGATGTTCTCTATAGAAAACTATTCTACTAAAGAATTGTCTGTGGAAAAATGTCATACAAAGAAGTTTTCTATAGAAAACGGTTCTACAAAGAATTGTTTCTAAGTAAAAGTTTTATATAGGAAATTGTTTGTATAAATGGAATATATAGAAAACTGTTTTAAGGATTGGGGACATAATTGGGTTCAGCATATTGATTCCTTTGTGATAAAGAAGACTATTATAGTATGGACTATAGAATAGTCTATAGTCTGGACTATAGAATAGTCTATAGTCTGGACTATAGAATAGTCTATAGTCTGGACTATAGAATAGTCTATAGTCTGGACTATAGAATAGTCTATAGTCTGGACTATAGAATAGTCTATAGTCTGGACTATAGAACAGTCTATAGTCTGGACTATAGAATAGTCTATAGTCTGGACTATAGAATAGTCTATAGTCTGGACTATAGAATAGTCTATAGTCTGGACTATAGAATAGTCTATAGTCTGGACTATAGAATAGTCTATAGTCAGGACTATAGATTAGTCTATAGTCTGGACTATAGAATAGTCCATAGCCTGGTCTATAGAATAGACTATAGTTTTGTACAAAATTTCTTAGAATCCCATTTAAAAACATTTAATTAACAAGTTTTATTAAAAATATTAATATTTTTTCTACTTTTTCTTTTTAGATTTATTCAACACAAGACGACAAACATTTCTTAAACTTTTCTTCACACACTCTCTATCTAAAGTTCTTCTATAAAAAAATTTCATCTTTAACTTTTTAAAATCGAAAAAAGAGAAAAAATAATAAAATTTAAAGTGGAGAAGTGCAATATTTATTAATATTTCTATATATTAAGTAACGAAACCAAAGATTTTGGGTGCTTCCCCAAAAACAAAATCCCGGGAGCATAAACCCAATTCCAAACGGAAAAACCCTTAAACCAAAAGCTAAAACCAAATATAACATAAACACACAGTCACATAATGAATGTGACTACTATATCGACGGGTACGCATGCTACCCAGGCGGCAGTCGAGAGTATAACCAATGTCAAACACCAACAACAGACCTATAAAATAGAAATGCTCGAGGACAGTTTGGCATCCGATGATGATGACGATGATTTGATTAGCAGCGATGGCAGCATGTTTGATGAAACTGAACTAACACATATTGCAGTGCAAGATGATTTAGCCAATCAATTGGCAGCTGCCGGACCAGTGGGTGTAGCTGCTGCAGCGGCTATAGCCTCGTCTAAGAAACGTAAAAGACAACATTCGTTTGAAACGAATCCTTCGGTACGTAAAAGGCAACAGAATAGATTACTGCGCAAATTGCGTGGCATAATCTATGAGTTTACTGGTCGCGTGGGCAAACAGGCTGTGGTGTTGGTAGCTACACCGGGTAAACCCAATACCAGCTATAAAGTTTTTGGTGCCAAACCACTAGAGGATGTAGTGCGTAATCTTAAAAATATTGTTATGGATGAGCTGGAAAATGCTTTAGCCCAACAAGCACCACCCCCACCACAAGAGGATCCCTCATTATTTGAACTGCCACCTCTAATCATCGATGGTATACCAACACCTGTGGAAAAAATGACACAGGCTCAGCTAAGAGCTTTCATACCATTGATGTTAAAGTACTCCACTGGTAGAGGTAAACCAGGTTGGGGACGTGAAGCCACCAGACCACCATGGTGGCCTAAAGAATTGCCCTGGGCTAATGTACGCATGGATGCCAGATCTGAAGATGATAAACAAAAGGTAATTTGTTATAAAAATATGTAAAATATTCTTTAAAATTAATATGTTTGCTTTGGAATTTAATTAGATTTCCTGGACTCATGCTTTGCGAAAAATTGTCATCAATTGTTATAAATATCACGGCCGCGAAGATCTCTTGCCCACATTTGCCGATGAAGAGGAAAAAGTCAGCCAAATGATCTCACACGAAGAGGAAGAGGAGGAAGAAGAGGTGATTGTACAGCCTGTTAGTAATCAAGCCACTACTATACAAACTATACACACAACCAATGCGCCCACAAATACTACAACTAATGTAAGGGTAAATATGTTTTTCTTAATTCAATTTTATAAAAATAATTGAGTGTTGAAGTTAAAGAGCCTCTTCGAATTTTATAAAGACAAAAGTGGCAAAGGTATGTTTAATAATATGAAGGTTGGGAATGTTTTCAAGAAGCAGAAAGGATGAAGCTTAGAAAAACGGGTATTATTTGAAATACATATTACTAATCTTCATGTTTTAAATGACATATATTTGCAACTTTTTTCGATGAGGCTTTTTAAGCTATAAGGTAAATGATAAAATGAAACAATCATTTCAAAATGTATGTTTATGTAAGTTTCTCACCAAATATTTTGAATGGATTTTAAAATATTTACGATTCTTTATAAAGAAATTTGAGTGTAATTATATTTAATTATACCCACCATCAAAAAAGATGGGGGGTATATTGATTTTGTCATTCCGTTTGTAACACATCGAAATATTGGTCATAGACCCACAAAAGTATATATATTCTGGGTCCTCATTAAATTCTAAGTCGATCTAGCCATGTCTGTCCGTCCGTCTGTCTGTCTGTCTCTCTGTCTGTCTGTTGAAAGCACGATAGAGTCCGAATGGAAAGAGCTAGAGGATTGAAATTTCACATAAATATTTCTTATAGGTAAGGTTTGTTTGGTATTGAAAATGGGCAATATCGGTCCACGTTTTCGGATAGCCCCCATACAAGTGGCCCCTCGAAAAGCACCTTTAACAGCCATAACTTGTTTAAAAATACGAATATATCGATGAAATTCGACATAATCAAAATCACTATGCAAAATTTTATGAGGATCGGTCCATAATTGACCTTTCCCCCCATATAAGGTCCCCTTCAAAAAACGACTTTAACGCTCATTACTGGCTTAAAAATACGAGTATATAGATGAAATTCGACATAAGTAAGTTTCATACGAGTCAAAATATATCTAAAAAATTTTATGAGGATCGGTCCATGATTGACCCTACCCCCCATATAAGGTCCCCTTCAGAAAATGACTGCAACGCTCATTAATGTCTTAAAAATACGAGTGTAGCGATGAAATTCGACACAAATAAATTTAATACGAACCAAATTCTGTCTACCAAATTTTATGAGAATCGACCCATAATTGACCCTAGCCCCCTATATAAGGTCCACTTCAGAAAATTACTTTAACGCTTATAACTGGCCTAAAAATACGAGTATATAGATGAAATTCGACATAAGTAAGTTTCATTCGAGTCAAACGAGGTTTGATGGTGGGTATATAAGATTCGGCATAGCCGAATATAACACTCTTACTTGTTAGTAGAACTTACTTTTGTTGTTGATTGCATGTTAAAAACTTTATGAAATTAGGTGATTTTCTTTTAACATGCTCATAATGGAGTTTTGAAACAAAATTGTCCTATTGAAAAAGGACATTTTTCACAAAATATTATATTACTTTACTATTTTCTATTAAAAAACTTTCGTAAAGAGACTTTCTTAAAAAAAACAATTTTTGCAAAAAACGTTTTTCGACAGGAAAAATACTTTCCACAAAAACCTTATCTCTATTAAAACAAATTTCAGGAAACACAAAAGTGTTTTATTAATAACATAATTTTATGCAAAATACTTTTTCATACTTTTTCTATTAAAATTACGACTTTCCAAAGAAACACTATAAAGATTTTTGTAAAATAAAGACTTTTTGTAAAAGACCTTTTCTATGAAAAACATTTTCTTATTCTTATTTTCCTATTTATATTCCTAACGACATATTCCTCCTAAAAAGACCAAAAATCCTTTTTATATGTAACAAAAAAAAAAAAAAAAAAAAACTTTACAAATCTAAATTGATCATAATTTCTCGTGACATTTCATCATTACGTTTTTATAGCAACAAGTAAATGTGGTTAAAATAAATAGTTCAGGAACTGTAATAACCACAACAAATCCACATAATCCAAATAATCCTGGACCCACCATTATACAAAGTACGAATGATCAACATATAACAACAACGGCACGTTTGCCAGCATCGACAAAGATTGAATTGTGTCCTGCGCCAATGGCACAGATAACACAACAACAGCATCATCAACAGCAACAGCAGCAGCAACAACATCAGCAGCAACAACAACAGCAGCAGCAACAACAACAGCAGCAACAACAACAGCAGCAGCAACTGCAACAACAGCATCAACAACAGCAACAACAACAGCAGCAACAACAGCAGCAGCAACAACAGCAGCAGCAACAACAACAGCATCATCAACAACAACATCAGCAGCAGCAACATCATCAAATACAAACCACAAATGTGACTTCTCAACAGTTGGCCAATGCCCAAGTTTGCATAGAACCCATGACCTTGGGAGATGTTGATGTTCGTAAAAACAATTCATACTTAATTTCAACTCAAATTGATGTTGTGTTATTTTGTTTGCCTTTTTCTTTTTTGTTTTCCTATTTCTGAACTTGATTTTTTTTTTAATTTTGCATTTTTAAATTCTTGAGTTGTTGTTGTTTTTTTTTTCTTAATTTGGATGTACCTAACTAAAAATAGGGAGTTATAAAGCATACTTTTAAAGGCTACAAGCAATATTTTTCTTTTATAGAAACTGCCTAAATGTTTGCTATATTTTGTGGCCCTTTAAACCGCTACAACTACAGCGATATTGTGTTTACATCCTTATTTTACTGATTTCTTAATTTATTTATTTTTGTTTGCTTTGTTGCGTTTCATTTTATTAACATTTTTTATAAGTTTAACTATTATTTTTTAAAATTTTAAATTATTTAACTAATTTAAAATTTAATTTCTTTTACTCGCTACAGTATACCACCCAAACGGTGTTATCCACCATACAAAATGCTGACGGCACTGTTTCGCTTATACAAGTTGATCCTAATAATCCTATTATTACATTACCGGATGGTACCACAGCCCAAGTCCAGGGTGTTGCAACGGTAGTGTTTAATATTATTTATATATTTGAAATAATATTCATTTCATTTGTTTACTTTTTGCAGCTGCATCAGGGCGAAGGTGGTGCCACTATTCAAACTGTTCAAAGTCTGGGTGATGTTAATGGTCATGAAAATATGACTGTTGATTTGACCGAAGCTACAGTGGCTCAAGATGGTCAGATTTATATAACGGCCGAGGATGGTCAAGGTGAGTTAGAAAATGATTTATTTATATGTTTTATTTGTTATAAAGAAATATTATAAGTTCCCTGGAATAAGAGTATTAATTCAACAACTAGTTGTAGAACACAAGATTATATCCTGTACCCGCTCTATTTTGGCTTTGAGATCAGTGTATAATTATTGCTTAAGAACTACACAGTACTTTGAAAACTCTTTAGAACCACTTTGGAATCACAACAATGTTCCACAGAACGGACTTCAGAAGTTATCAAGAATACAAAATCATACGGTTTACACCCGTTAGAGAGTTAGTTGATTTATAATAATTTTAAAAGTTTTTACTACTTTGGGGAAACACCTCTAATGGAATTTCCAACAAGGGACGATTGGTTAGTATCTGATAGACTGTTTGATGGATTTGCAGTTTTTACCGACGGGTCTAAGATAGATTTAGGCACGGGTGCCGGTGTCTGAATACTGATGCCGATTTAAAAAGGTACTTCAGGCTCCCTGAAGAGTGTAGTGTGTTCCAATCAGAGATCCTAGCGATTTGGAAAGCGATGGAACTGATACGGTCGGTTTTGACAATTTATGTCGATAGTCAAGCTCCTCTTAAAGCCTAGGCATATCATACGATATATTCGCTCCAGGTTTTAGGTTGTAGAAATACTTATAGGGACATTATGAGATTGTTTACTATTAGACTGTGTTGGGAGCTGGGGCATATAGTAGGGTGATCGACTCGATTTTTCAACCGGTTTTAAACCCGGTTTTTTCACTTTTTAAAACCCGGTTTCGAATACTTTCATTTGCTTTGTATTCAAAGATTATTTAAATGAAATTTTTAAGTAAATAATAATACAGCCCGTCTAAATTTTAAAAATATTCGAGTCGAGGAACTAGAGTATATTTTTCTACAGCTCTTTTGGTTAAACTTTTTTGATTTTCCTAATTAATTAAAAAAAATTATTTGTAAAATGGATAACTGTTTGATAAAATTTAGCAATCTTAAGATTATATTCCAATTACAATAATTAATTTACGGCTGAAATTTTATGGAAGTGTTGGAATGCCTATGCAAATTTCCTAAACAGGGCTTTTAAAATAAGCTAGGATTACATATGTTTAACAGAAGTGTCCCACTTTTTTCCTAATTTTTTTATATTAAAGAAATAATGTAAATCAGACGACTAGATCTAAAGTTATAATCTTTTAAACTGTTAAAAATCATTTCGGGCCATGTTTTATTAATCAAATTTAAACATAAACATTAAGTTTTTCAAATTAAAATATATTTTCTTAATTGTAATGAAAAACCGGTTAACCGGTTTTTTTCTGAATTTGAAAAATATCAACCGGTTTTTTTTAAATGTCAACTATTCGAACTATTCGAAAACCGGTTTTTGGAAAATGTCGAATAATCGATCACCCTAGCATATAGTAACTAGCTAGTCTAGGTTCCAACCTTGACATAGATTTATCAGAAACTGTCACTATTAGAAATAGGTTCATGTCCGAGAGAATACGTGACATCAACAACCAGTCTTGGAATAGTAGAATGGATTGCAAAATATCAATGGCCTTATGTCCAATAATTGATGTGAGGGCTACCAGGATAGTTAAAGGACTGAATAGATACAGTCTAAGGATTCTGATAGGGATTTTAAAGGGCATTGCTCAATTTGGGCATTTGTCAGTAAGTGGGACAATAATATACCGGTCTATTGCAGGATATATGAAGATGCTGAGAAACAAGAGATGGTTGAGCATTTTGTCACTGTCCTAGAATACAGAATCTAAGGTTGAAATGGCTGGGAAATAAGTAACGTGACGAACTGGGGGAAATTGCTGGACTCAACCCTCGCAGTCTACTATGTTTTATCAGGGTAATTTGTCATTTGTTCGACTGTATTTTATAGGGAGTTTCAGATTCTCTAACAACTTCTTCCTTAGTGTATCAATTCGGTAAAACTTTCAAGTTAAAACTTTGAAATCGACATGTCTTAATTGCTCTTTTCGTTTTGTTAAAGTAATTGTTTGGTTCTTTTGTTTCTCTACCTTTTATCTTCACACTCTACGAAGGCAATTATAATGGAATTTATGGTCTCCAAGTGAAGTTGCACCTCTTTATGGTGCATCACTCTTCTCAACATACATCTAACATATTGGCTAAATCTTGCAAATATTTTTTAAAGATTTTTCCTAAAGTTTTATCTAAGTTTTTTTTTTATGTTATAAGTTAGAATAAATCTAATTTATATAATAAGGTTACGCAAAGAAGTATTATTATCATTTATTATATCTATGTATGTTATCAAATATTTCTATCACTTTGTGCGCACGTGTAACATAATTGTCATGCCGATAAGACTAAAATGTATATAGATAATATAGAAAACATGCCGTTCTATATTTGAAACACTGACAAAAACTAGAGAAAGAAATTTCTTATTTAATAGTAAACATTTTATCATTGTACTCATATTCATCTTGTTCCAAACGTCAAACTTTTCTAAAGGCCTTAAAATAGGTTGAGAAATCAGTTAAAAAATAATAAACTATGTTCGGAGATCTTGTTGCTTGAAAATTTTCGAACAAAAAAGTGGGTTTTTGAACATGACCATTTCCGATTTCGATGAAATTCGGCACACACATTCTTTGTATAAATACCTTGATAAAGGCAACTTCCATTTTCTTTATTTCTTCACTAAAGTTAGGTCATAGTATACTCAACGAAATATAAAAAATTCAGAATGGGACAATGAGGGGATCTTAAGTTAACCAACTTTTAGTAAAATAATCCACATCATTTCCTTACAAATTTCATAATTTTTTATAACACAAAATATTATGCAAATTTCCTTTATTACCACTATATATCAAACGTATTCAGTTATACAATTTTTCACATATTTACCATCGAACTAATTCCAAATGATGGAAGAGAAAAAACACTAAACACACAAGTAATTTTCCACTTATAAATCTAAACTACCAAATGACTTTTTAATCTTATTCAAATGATTTCCTTTAAATATTTAACGGCAATGAACGAACGATTTGTTACGTTATTAATTAAATTTACAATTTTATTGCAGGTTATCCAGTGTCCGTTAGTAATATGATTACATTACCGGTATCAGCATCCATGTATCAATCAATGATGGCCAATATCCAACAAATACATACAAATAGCGATGGCACAGTGTGTATAACACCAATGCAGGTAGATGCTCAAAACAATAATAATAATAATTCTAATGCAAATACAAATACAAATAATAATAACAATAGTAGCAGCAGTAATAGTTGTGGTAATAGTAATAATAGTAGTAGTAATAATAATAACAATGATACTGAGGGTAATAGTAACGGAAATCCGAATACAGCAGCAAATGCAACAACACCAACAGCACCACAGTATCAATGTTATTCAATAATGGCAGCAACACCGCTTGCTACCGCAACAGCTCATCGGCTGTTGACAAATACAGCTTTAAATCAAACACAGAATTTAGTTAATAATTTAAGTAGCAATATGAATAGTAACAATAATAGTAATATTAGTCCTAGTAATATACGTTGCCAAATAATAAACGCCTCTAGTTTACAACAAAATTCTAGTCAAATGAATTGCCAACAACAGCAGCAACAACAACAACAACAAAATTATTTAGCAAATGTTTTACAAAATGCAACAGCTAAAGTTTTTATAGCAAATCCAACACATTTAAATTTAACAGCAGCCACTAATATTTTAAACAGCAACAACAACAACAATAACGATACAACAACTAACAATAACAATAATAGTAATCATAATAACAACAATAATAATGGTCATATAAAAATTGCCACGGCTATGCCTTTGCCAATAGTTGTAGCTGCCACCACAGCTCAGCATACTCAATCAGCCACTGAGAGAAATTGTAGCGCTGTTGGTAGAGCTGGTGGTGGCGTTAATAATAGAAAAACTGGACATAAACGTCGTAAGCAAACCTTTGCCAAAGTTATACCCATTAAAATAGAGGAAAATCTTGCCACAGATGCTGTTAACAATACTACCAATACTATCAATCATAATAACAACAACAACTCGGGCGAAAGCCTTTTAAATATACAAATTGTCAATACTACAGATAATAGTGTTGTTGTGGCGGGAACTGGTAATGGTGGTGCTGTTGTCGGCAGTTTAGGTAATTTAAGAGTTGGCAATCGTCTTGTTAGTGTCGATGTTTCATCTTCGTCCAATACCACTGGGTCACAGTTACCCGCCAAAACCATTAAACTAGAAACACTAGACAATTAATTACAATTAACAATGACAGCAGCAATATCAACATTAACGAAGGAAAATTTAATGAAATCAGATCAGTTATAGAATGGAATGTATACTAATGGAGTTTTAGGTTTAGTTAATGTTATAATGGAATTCAAAACATTGAAAACTTTGCGCTGGCGCAGAAAGTTTTTATATAGTGTTAATCACTATTGATATATACATTCTTCCAATTATATTTCACATGAATTTCATTAAGATTTCAAAATTTTCTATGTAATTTAAGAAATTTGTTATTGTATTTCAGAAATTTAAAATTTTAAATTAGCTGGATTTAGAACTTTTCTATTTGTATTTCAGAAGTTTGTAATTAAAATTTAGAAAATATTACTTAAATAATACTTCTATTTCCAAATTGTATTTCAGAATAGGTAGAGTAGATCCCTTTTGACAATAATTCCCTCTTTTATTTTCTAAATTTCTATAAAGTTTTCTATTGCTAACGAAAAGTATACATTCTTGTAAATATCTGTGTTATGAGGAAGGACTATATAGCAAAACTGACTTTGAAAACAATAGATTTTGTTCTTTTTAATTTATTTATCATTTCATTCTCTTGTTTTTTCGTTATTGCTGTTTTTCATCGTAAAATATAAACGTTCGTCTGTCTTGTTCCGGTAGTTTTTTTCTAACAGTCCTGGGTAGAGATCTAGCATTGAAATCTATTTTCTTAAAACCATCTTAGGTGGTCTAAAGCTGAACTACTGGTACATTATTGTTTCATTTTGAAAGTTTAAATATCTTGAAAGTCTTGTTAACTATTTATATTTCCTTATTGGGTTTGGATCAGATATTCACTATCAGACGATCTTATCAAGAACACAAAAAGATGCCAAATCTCTGTTCCATATTTTAAAACCAATTACAGACTAAATGTTCTGTGTTATTTCATATTTTATTTTCGTACTTTTTGCACTTTTTATAAACAAAATTTTAAACTCTATGTGTGCTAAGTTTTTGAACATGACTGTACTAATACCAAACAAACGTTATTCTCATTATGTTTTCATTACTTATAAAGTGCAATATACATAAATGAAAAATAAATTAAAATTAGCAAAGATTTTTTTAAATATTTATTTTTTATTCATTTCAAATTTAAACAAAATAACAATTTTGTAATAAAATTTATTATAGAAACTTTTTAGTAACTTAAAAAGGATACAAATTTGTTAAACATTTAAAAAAATCATTGTTAAAAATTATTTAATAACAAAATCAAGTGGTAGCAAAAGTTTTAACAGTTTAATTTAAATTGAGGTTAGTAAATTATATTTGATTTAAATAAAATTCTTCTAATTGTAAATATATGTACATATTTACATATTTTTTTGCTATTACATATTTACAACAAAACACGAATTTATATGATTTCTTTTAATAGAAATCAAAGCAAAAAATGTTTTATTGATGTTTATTTTTATATATTTTTAAAATCTTTTTAGAATTAGCTTTTTAATTGCTAAACAATGAGTAAAATAATACATTTTCATAAATGTTTTATAAACACATACAAAGAAAAAATACATATGTATAACAAAGTACAGTTATACAAAAAATTTAACGCAATATAATTGCAATATTAATAATTGCATCATAAAGTTTTAAAAAAAATTTACTAAATTTGTTAATAAATGCTACAACTCGATTTTCTTTCGATTTTAATAAGATTTCAGTTATTGCAAATTACTTTTGCTAACAACTGTATCTTTAAAATGTAACAGTAGTAGAGATTTATATTATTCAAAAGTAAAGTATGTAGTTATTTGAATATACATATGTATGTATTGTGTGTATATTACATATACATGTACTAACATGTGTATTTGTTTTAAAACATATTTCTGCAACAATTATTTTTAAAGTGAGCCTTTAGTTTTTAACCACAAGAACAAAAAATTCTATTGTTTATTATTGTACATTATTCTACTCGTTTTAAAAATTATAGAAAATAATTTATTTGTTGTTTTATTATACACTTTTATACCTATATAAGTGCAAATAAAGTATTTTTATATAGACGAGAACGTTCTTCAGACTCCGTTGGAAATTTGCTCATAATTTAAAAAAAAAAAAGTATTTCTAAAGAGAATTGTTTGTAAACTGAGTAAATTTTTGATAAAAATCCTTAAGAATCGGATAAATTACTCAAAAACTGAGGAAATTGCCCAGAATATAAACAATTTTCTCTAAAGAAAATTGCTCAAAATCTAAGCACTTCCTCTTTAGGGATTTTCTAAAAATCTGGGAACTCGGAAGCTGGGCACTTTTCTCTGTAGAAAATTGTTCAGAATCTAGGCACTATTCTTTATAGAATATTGCTCAAAATCTGAACACTTTTTTCTATAGAAAATTGAATCTGGGCACATTTCTCTATGGAAAATTGTTCAGAATATGGACACTATTCTGTATAGACTATTGTTTAGAATCTGGGCACTTCTCTCTATAGAAAATTGCTTAGAATCTGGGCACTTTTCTCTATAGAAAATTGTTCAGAATCTGGGGACTTTTCTATATAGAATATAGTTTAGAATCTTTTCACTTCTCTCTATAGAAAATTGTTCAGAATCTGGAGACTTTTCTCTATAGAATATTGCTTAGCATCTGAGCACTCCTCTGTATAAAAAATTCCTTAGAATTTTGGCTCATAATCTGGACTCTTTTCTGTATAGAATATTTCTCAGAATTTGAGCACTTCTCTCTATGGGAAATTGTTCAGAATCTGGACACTTTTCCCTATATAAAATTGCTTAGAATCTGTGCACTTCTCTCTATAGAAAATTGCTTAGAATCTATGCACTATTCCTCAGAATTTTGGCTCAGAATCTGGACACTTTTCTCTATAGAATATTGCTCAGAATCTGAGCACTTCTCTCTATGGGAAATTGTTCAGAATCTGGGCACTTTTCTCTATAGAAAATTGCTCAGAATTTGGGCACTTTTCTATATAGAATATTGCTTAGATCTGAGCACTTTTCTCTATAAAAAATTCCTCAGAACTTGGTTACTTTTCTCTATTGAAAATTGCTTTGAATCTTGGCACTTCTCTTTATGGAAAATTGCTTAGAATCTGAGCACTTTTCTCTATGAAAAATTGCTCACAAGTTTGACACATTTATCTACAGGAAATTGCTCAGAATTTGGATACTTTTCCCTAAAAAAAAAATTTCTTAGAATCTGGGTACTTTTCTTTATAGAAATTGCTCAGGATCTGGAAATTTATAGACAATTTTTCAGAATTTGGGTTCTTTTCTCTATAGAAAATTGCTCAGAATCTAGAAACTTTTCTATATAGAATACTGCTTAGATCTTAGCTCTTTTCTCTATGTAAAATTCCTCAGAATTTTTCTCTATAGAAAATTGCTTTGAATCTTTGCACTTCTCTCTATGGAAAATTGCTTAGAATCTGAGCACTTTTCTCTATAAAAAATTGCTCAGAAGTTTGACACATTTTTCTACAGGAAATTGCTCAGAATCTGGACACTTTTCCCTAGAATCTGGACACTTTTCCCTATATAAAATTGCTTAGAATCTGTGCACTTCTCTCTATAGAAAATTGCTTAGAATCTATGCACTATTCCTCAGAATTTTGGCTCAGAATCTGGACACTTTTCTCTATAGAATATTGCTCAGAATCTGAGCACTTCTCTCTATGGGAAATTGTTCAGAATCTGGGCACTTTTCTCTATAGAAAATTGCTCAGAATTTGGGCACTTTTCTATATAGAATATTCCTTAGATCTGAGCACTTTTCTCTATAAAAAATTCCTCAGAACTTGGTTACTTTTCTCTATTGAAAATTGCTTTGAATCTTGGCACTTCTCTTTATGGAAAATTGCTTAGAATCTGAGCACTTTTCTCTATGAAAAATTGCTCACAAGTTTGACACATTTATCTACAGGAAATTGCTCAGAATTTGGATACTTTTCCCTAAAAAAAAAATTTCTTAGAATCTGGGTACTTTTCTTTATAGAAATTGCTCAGGATCTGGAAATTTATAGACAATTTTTCAGAATTTGGGTTCTTTTCTCTATAGAAAATTGCTCAGAATCTAGAAACTTTTCTATATAGAATACTGCTTAGATCTTAGCTCTTTTCTCTATGTAAAATTCCTCAGAATTTTTCTCTATAGAAAATTGCTTTGAATCTTTGCACTTCTCTCTATGGAAAATTGCTTAGAATCTGAGCACTTTTCTCTATAAAAAATTGCTCAGAAGTTTGACACATTTTTCTACAGGAAATTGCTCAGAATCTGGACACTTTTCCCTAGAATGTGGGCGCTTTTCTTCAAAGAAATTTGCTCAGAATGTGTAAAATTTTTTTTTATAGAAAATTTCTCAGAATTTGGGTACTTTTCTCTATAGAAAATTGCTCAGAATCTGGAAACTTTTCTCTATAGAAAATTGCTCAGAATTTGGGTACTTTTTTCTATTCTCTATTCAAATATTTCACAGAATCTGTGTATTTGTTCACAATTTCATAGAATCCGGCCACATTCTCTAAAGAAAATTGCTTTTCTCTATGGAAAATTGTGCAATTTTTTCTATAGGAAAAAATAGACTTTTTTTTTCAGAAACTCATTACTTTTCTCTACATTGCTCTTTTCTCTATAAGGAATTGTTAGAATCTGAGCATTTTAGGATTTTCTTAGAATCTTTATATTTTTCTTTTCCTATAGAAACTGAACACTTTTCTCTACAGAATCTGAGAATTTTAAAAATTTTTGATAAAATTTCCAACTGAGAATTCTTTTATGAACAACTCACTTTAAATGTCTGCCAGCTTTATACTATTTTTGTTAAACATTTCAATGGAAACTTTGTAAAAGTTTTGCAACATCAAAGTGAATAAGAAAATGTTTTTTTTTTCATAAATTCACCAGTCTGTTATAAATTTGAATTGATAGAGAGTTATTTAAAAGCAAATAAATTCTTATTTATCAAATATGTAAAGAAAAATGTAAACAATTGATTTAATTTTATTATAAAAATAGTAAAACATAATTCTTTTTAAGAAAAAAAATGTTAATTAACATTTTAGACTAAAAAGTTTACATTCGATGTCGATAGAATTTAAATGAAAATATCAATCGATATCAAATGTCAAATTTCTATCCAGTAGTCTTTGAAGTAATTTCTGAATATACAAATTTTATTAAAAATACATACGTTTTTTATGGGTTATTTCCATAATTTTTTAAATTGATCATTACGAACATGGTCCCAAAAACGATCTCTTAAAATACATTCGTTTATACGGATTAATACCATATCATTACTTATTAAATTTTGTTGTAAAAATCGTTGCATATCTTCATAAACTAAAAACTGTTGCCTATATTTAGGCAAATACTTATTGTTGAAATACATAATCAAAAGAATTCTTTAAACTCCTGGGTATTTCGAAACATTTAAAACAAAATTGTTTTCTTAAATACATATTTACACAGAAAATAAATTTGAAGCAAAATAAATGTTTTTTTTTTCTTCTGAAGAAAAAATACCTTTAGTTAATCTATTTTCTTATACATATTATGCAAAATGAAAATTATCAAATACTAATATCCTAACAAAGAGTGAGTGTAATAAAAACATAAATTGTTTTAACAGAAACTGTTTGAAAAAGAAAATAACAAAAAACTTTGTACAAAAGGTCCCCAGAACTTGACAGACATCATGATTTAATTTATTGTTATGTGATAAAAATATAAAGAAAAGAAAACTTTTTAAAAGTTTAAAACTGCTAAATGTTTGATTTGCTAAAACATACTTTTAGGCTTTTTATATATTTCAACAAGTTTTTTTTTTTCAAAAACAAGTTGAAAGGTGTGTTTTTTAAAACTTATGCTGTTGCCTAAAAAAATAAATAATTAATAACAATAAAATTAAATTTTTTTGTGAATTATTTTTTTATTTTTTGCAATTTGTAAATTTTGTTTTAATATAGTTAGTTGCCTATAAAGAGAAATTTAATTTAGTGCTTGCCATCTTGTTTTAGTTTTTAGTTTCTAAATAAATTACCTAGTAGATAAATTTTGTTTT